TAATATTTGTAACTTTTACAGTGAGATCTACTATTTGGCCTGCATGACTTACTTTTTGTTTACCTTACTATGATTTGTTTGATTTTTCATTTTAGTTGCTATCACAACATGTGTTTTCAGCTTGTTTTTTTTACATACTTGTTACATCTAGATTATTTTCTAGAATACTTTGTTTTAATCAAATCACTTGTTGTTTCTTTGTCTATAGAGTACTATCATTTAACCTTCACACAAAAGCAATCAAAGTTGTTGCAGATGGCTTGTATTTCCCAAATGGAGTTCAGCTTTCTCATGATAAATCAGAATTATTGATTGCAGAATGGAGCAATCGAAGAATTCTGAAGTGAGTGTGGGTGTAATTTTAGTTTCTGTGTAAATGTTTGTTTAGCTGATAAATGTGTAAGCAAACAAAAAATCATATTGTTTGTTAAATTCTGAACACAAGAGATACAGATACTTATAACTGTTATAGTATAATATGCATTTATGATTATTTACCTATTAAATGACTTATATTTTACGTCTGTGCAAGAATTTTCTGTAATGCCTAATTATTTCTTTGATTCCAAGCTTTTAACTGTTTGATCTTCTAACCTCTGTTCTAAGATGAAGATGTAATTGTTTCCTGATACAGATATTTTTGTCTTATCATTTTCTTTCAACAACATTTAACTTTCACTGTTTACACCATTGGTTGCCATTTTTATGCAGCTGCTTAAGTTTGATTGTAGCAGCTCAAAGTGTAAACTGGAGTTTCTGAATTTCTAATGAATCATGATACAATTTAGTGATTTTTCTCTCTTCAGGCTGACAAAATATCATTTACACTTTTGATGAATACCTTGATAAATTCATTAATTACATGTGTTTTTTTTATGCCTACCTGTCTTGGGATAGTCCTTCAGTTCTTTGATTGTTTTATTGATTGAGAATCCTAACAACTGAGTGCCACCTGGGTTGTTTAAAATACCTGGATTGACACAATTATACTGCTTTGGTCTTGAACGAGGATCAACCAGCAGGTTAATAATAACTAAGGTTAAATGAGCACTTTCATTGGATCTCTTCTACGTATAGTGTTGTGTGTGTTTTGGAAGGTTCACAAAACCATGGTGGGTAGGGTCATTAGGTTCAAAATCTGAATTTGTCTTTATGTTATCTTCAACTTCTAAATTTTTGTGCAGGATCTTTTTAGGTCACAAATCTAAGCCTCTGTTCCAAATATATTACCTTCATGTAACAAACTGCCTGCGCTTCATTTCTTAACTACCCCTGCATTATCAGACAAATGTCAGGGTGAGATATTCTTTATTTCAGTGGCTCTGCTAAGAAATGTCAGTCAGGAGACTTACTTGCTGAAACTTCAAAACCTAAGAACAGTGAGTTGGCTTCCATAGTTTTTGGGGGTATTCCCATTAAGGTTATCCTCCTTAACATCTTGAACTTCTTTAGGGAAATAAGTACTAAACATAAACGTTTTAATATCCTTATCTTTTCAAAATATGCATCGAAAAACCGTGATGTTAAAGACAGTTCTGTGATTTTATAAAATTTGTATCTGTTATGTGAAAAACTATTCAGTGAAGTTTTTATTTTTGTAGTACAATTTACATGAACACTTTAAGTAATTGTTTATGATGCATTAAGTTTTAATTATTTGAACAAAGATCTTAAAATTTATTACATGTACATGATACCAAATTATTAATTTTTAACTTATCTTTCAGAATTGCTTTGAAAGGTTCTAATGCAGGTCAGACAACAACATTTGCTGACAGATTTCCAGGAGAACCTGATAATATTCGTCCAAGTTCCACTGGTGGTTATTGGGTAGCTCTAACAGCAGGCCGTAATTCTTCATCATTGGCGCTGTGTGATTATTTAGCCGAGTACCCACTGGTTAGAAAAGTCATAGCTAGGTTTTCTTTCTTTGCTGCTTCCTGCCTTAACTATATTCTTCAGTTTTGGCCTTCTCCTGTCTTGAAGGATTTAGCTTTCAAGGTTATGGGTTATTATGTATTTTAACTAAAGTATTTTAAATGATACAAATGCAATTTGATTTAAGCATTTGTTGTTTATGAATAATGTAATTTTCAAAAAGTTTACCTTGTTAAAAAAGAAGCCATTCTAATTTTGAAAATTAATGAGGCTTAAATCTATAGGTTTTTTTCTGTGTAGTACTTCTAATACAAATAGTGACTGTACTTTTAATTATTGTATTTAGTAACTACTGTCTATCTTTGTTCTACATAAATGTATTTTCTGGCTCTGATCTTTCTGCAAAGTTTTGCCAATGGATTACTATGTAAGAAATGCTTTAACCATTATATTTTATGATATTTAAACACTTTTTTTGAAATTAATCAGTACATAATCTTATGTGTTTTGTTAACTCTTGAATTATTTGTATTGTTGTAACATTTTAATGAAATAAAAGTACTTTTTATGAACGTTACACATATATCTTATTCAGGTTAAACATTCTGATTGACATTTTATTTTCACATGTAAATTAATGTGTAAAAATTGTCTGCATTCTCTAGATGTAATTGCTAATTTTCCAAATGCAGTTTCAAACTTTGTTGTGGCAAGAAATTTGTAGAAAAATTAGCTTCTTTTTTTTTCTCCCAACAGGCAGAGCATTTTACCCTGATTTTCCAACTTCTTCCAAAATATGGAATGATAATGGAGTTGAATTCTGATGGAGAAATTTTACGTAGTATGCACTCCCCTGATGGAAGTATATCATATCTTTCAGAAGTTTTGGAATTCCAAGATAACTTGTATGTTGGATCTTTTATTAATTCATTCCTTGTAAAAATGGCTGCTCTTTCTTCATAACCTTCTGTTATGTATAGTAGGTATGTAAGAGCAAAAATACATTGTTTTTCTTTGTACCACATTTTGCTTTTTGTAGAAAAAATGATGCTCTGAAAATCACCAATACTTAATCCCATCAGATGGTTTAACTCTTTCAGTACTGTTGGGTTATATTTGTCACTATATAGGGACAAGTGGACAAATATAACGTTGAATGTGAGATGATCTTGGGTTACTTTCACCTCAGACTGTATATGTAATTTTTTTTATAAATAGCTACTGGAACACACATATCCTGTATGAAAGTTTCAAAAATTATGAGAGGGGAAAATTTTTCAGAAAGCTTTCCTTATGTATCTTAGGTCATTTATATGTACTTGTATCATTTCTATTTTAAGAGTACAAAAGGTGGATTGAAAGAATTAACCAATTGTTCTATTTGTTTGTAATTAGAAAGAATGAACTATGCATTTTTCAAAATAGAATTGTGTAGTTTAAGTACAGTTGTTTCAGAGTATTTCTACATTACAGCTATCATGCCTGCATATCACCCATACTGTTAAATGTTTTGAGAAAAGTGAAAAAATATCAACTGCTAAGTTACACAAAGTTTGTTCCCATCTTATTTTAAATTAAAAAAACAAAAAACTTTTAAGTAAGTCTCAAGTAGTTCCACTAGTGCTAAGTTGTTTTAATAATACATGAGGTTACTCTTTAAAACATTTAAAACTTTCCCCATGAAGGAAAATGTCCTGAATTTAAAATGTTCTGTTCTTTCATAGTGTTTTATTGAAAACGTTCAATAATTAAAATGAAAAATGTATTAGATTTATTTTAGTATATAAAATTTCATTTTTACATGAACAAAACCAACAGCTATGACACACTTATTCAAAATGTTTTATTTTCTGTGTAAAAAAGCATTAATTAGCTCAAGTTTGGCAAGAGAGTGGTGTCATATACTTGTTTTGCACACGTAGTACAATAATTGTATAAGAAAAACTGAATAGCATTCATGTAGAATAGTCTTGGTATTTGTTTGGTTCCAAAACGGGCTCATATTATCCTTTATACCATCATTTGGTAATGTAGCAACCTTAAAGTTTTTTATTTCTTGCCTCTGAGCCTTTTTACTATTTTAGCAATAGGAAAACAATTCAATGGTTTTCATCCAGGAACTCTCTTTACCCTAGGTGTTTTTTATCATTTTATAATTGTGTAGTTAGCTCAACACAAGAATGATTCATAGTGATTCAAGATTATCACTGTGGGATTAACACAACACTTCTACAATAACATTGAGATTTTAGATGTGATTGCAAGCCATGTTATATATATCTATGTTATTCCTTTACTGTTGTCTTCTCTAAAGAATACTTCTGGAAACCTTTTGAATATTACTTCAATATGTCTGACATTCTTGATTTGCAAGTGTTGGTACTCAGTCCTACTGGTTTCAAGAGAGTATTGTGCATTACTAGATTTTTACTATTTCTTTGAAGTATCTATCTTTTCTGTCTTATGGAGTTTGTTCATTCTAACTGTTACCATTTTTTAACAGAAGATTATTATTGCCCCATGATATCCTGTCCAAATTCCTATTTTTCAAACTTCCCATCTAAGTTCTTCACTTTAAGAACAACTTTATTCATATACCTACAAGTTAATTTCTTGATGCTTGTTTGGCATTATTTTTTAAGGGTTTCAATTATTGAATTGACTGCTACAAAAAGAAAAACATCATGATGTTCCATAAAAATTTAGTGTTCCTTCACATGAGATATATTTTAACTGAAATAAACTTTTGTGTTGAAAAGGTGATTTTGTTTATTAACAATGTGAATTTAATAGTACAGAAAAGAAAATCAGTAGTACAATCATTTACCATGTTGGTTTCAATGTGGTGTGATAAAAAGAGTCTTCAAGACAAATTTAAATAAATTCAAACTTTTAAAAAATATTTGTTGATTAGTATTACTCCATGTGATGATGTATGCAATTAGATTGTTATATAAATAATAAATTGGTATTATGAAATGGCTTGTTGAACTGTTTCTTATAGTTGTTTCATTGATTTGTGTTAGTTTAATTATTGTTGGTACTATCAGTGGTTTGTTTATTTGTTGAAATTTGTGTAATGCTACATGAGGGCTAGCTGTCTGTAATTTTGAAGTGATAGACTAAAGGGAAGGCTAGTACCTTATTACCAACACATTATAACTCCTTCAAGTCTGAAAAGTGAACATCTTTCATGATGGGATTCAGACCCACAGATTGTGAGTTGAGTGCCTTAACCACCAGGCTTAATAAAGTGGTAATAAAGTGAATTTTATACCATTTTTTGGTTTAGAAATAAAAAAAACATTTTATAGAGGATGCTAGTTTGGGGTAGTAAGTTGGTTATAAAGTACTGTACTTTATACTTTTATACAAGTATTAATCCATTCAAACTAAGCTGGAAAGTACATCAAATAAGTTTTTGGCAAACCAATAGGTTTTGTGAGAAACAAAGGATAGATCTGAAATGCTGTTTTTTACACATATACCCGAGTTCCAGCTGCAATGGACAAATATCAAGTATTAATGGATTCAGTTTAAGTTAATCAATTAGTCCAAATACTCTTTTAAACTGGTTTATACTATAAATTGTATTATTATTATTATAATTTATCTTCATTTCAATTTTAAAAGATTATTTGTTCATGCTACACTGTAACAACAAACACAAAATACTTATGTTAATCTTACTACTGATTTATCTTCAGCTTGTAAGAAAGTAAATACTTCAAAAGTGGATGCACATTCATTCGTGATAAAAAATAATTTTTATAAAACGATTACAGAGTTTGACTTTTAACATTAAAACAATTTTCAAATGTGAAGATACCGGTTGCATCAGTGAGCTGATATGTTCTTGTAACATTTCCTTGACAACATAATAAAATTGTAAAAACATAATTTAGCAAAAATCTTGTGTAATTTATAGTCAACTTACTAAAAAGATTCTTTTGTAGCTACAAGTTTTGGACATTTTATGTTTTACTATGCACACATTGGTTAATATTAATACATCACACTAAGCTGTGAACATGGTCATTGTGAAAGCTATTTTCTCTCACTCACATTAAGAATTATTAATTTCAATCTTATGTAAAATAGAATTGTGATATTTGTATTTTGCTTTTTCTCTCAACTTTCTGAAAAGTAATGTAATGACATTACAAAGAAATACCAAAGTGCTTAAAATTTTATAAGCTTTAATAGTAAAAGGCAGCTACAATCATTACTATAATCTGATGACTTCACAGTTTAAAGAGTAAATCGATACTCAAAAGCCAGTTGTAATGAAGTAAAATGAGCATGAAAGAACTGTTAGTGTATGTGTTAAATAATACAGGTAACTTTTTATGCCTACTCCTCTTTACCTAATGGTTAGGTAGTCTTAAATGACCTGTATATCAAAATAAGTTGAATGTTACTGTGTTTTAAATGGTCTTACAGTGTAATAATACTTTTGACTATACATTGACTAGCTACTTTATTGGGACTACTACCTAATAGTTTAGTGGACCATTAAATTTCTAAAAATGCCATTATTGCCTAAGTTCCAAGATGTCTGTAGAGGATCATGGCTGCAATTATAATGTTTAAGTTTGTTCCAAAGATGCTTTCAAACATTACAAGTGCAGTCGATAGTCTTGAAAGATTTGTATAACAGTATAACTGCTCCTTTTGAAGGAATAAAGAATTTGACATGTATGGTCAAGTTCATTACATGACTACCCCCCCCCCATTTTGTATAATATCAGATTACTTTTCTCTTTGTATCGAACATAGGCAGTTTTTCGACTGTCAACTACTACCTGATAGCTAGTTGTGTTGTTTTTATCCATAATTTAGTTGGAGATAGTTTAATTCCATAACCAAAATTGAATAAATTGGTCATTACATTTTACGAACTGGGTTAGTGATTTTTTTTTTCCTTTGGTCTGTCACAAGTAGTTGGCAGCCACAATTATTTATATTAGCAGACTTAGCTTTTGATTATCACTGTTGACAGACTAATGAATATTACTTTTGAAAGCAGGTTAAAAAATTGTCTTGGTAATCAAAGACCATATTAACCCTTTCACCACGAAAAGCGACTATAGTTGACGGAAGTCTAATTGTGTTGACAACGGAGATCGATTTTTCTCTACCACTGTCAACAATTTTTTCCCTTTACAGTGGAAATTAACAACCCTCCACAAACTAGAATTGATCGCCAGACACTGGGTGTGCTGACATCTAGGAAACACAAGTATAAACAATCCTTCAGCTGGAGTCCCAGCTGGCAGATGATGTAAGGCACATATACAGATATCAGCTGATTGTGGTATTTTCTCTGTGTTTTTATCATAATTTAGGTTTATTACTGACACCATAACATCAAGATATGCAATATGTGTCATATACCACAATGCACAACAGAGTAAAATAGAGCTAAGTTACAATGTTTTTTGATGGAGAAATGACATTGATTGGGGAATGACCATGAAATCTAATTGTGGTGAAAGGGTTAAATAAACACCTACTATATTGTCCCTTCTGGAAGCCTGAAAGAGATCCTTGTTCTTCCGTGTTTTTGAACCTGATAGGATTACATCTTGCCATATGGCATTCTGCATCAAGCAATCACTTTATATCTCACATAACCAATTTATAATGAAGTGTTATATCAGTTACTGTTGTAGGAATTAAATAAAGTGGTGAGTCAAGTGTAGATTCTGTTTTATATAAATACAGAATAGTAATTCTAACTCAACAGATTAATCTGGAATGTTCTGAACTGGTTTTGGTATATTTATATTAAAAAACTCAAAATATCAAAAATTATCAGTGACTCAAACTTCTTGTTTGGGTTTTTTAACTTTTTTTTTTTCATAAGAGTAGTTTCCAGTATTTTTTCTTGTCTACACATTAACTGAAGCTTGTAATTAACTCTTTCAGCCTGGGACCAACCTTGTAACCATTTTGTGCTTGTTATAGTTTTCATGCTGTAACTTTTAAATTAGTAAGTGAATGTTGACAAAATTTGGCAGATTATCAGTAAACATTACAATGCTTTCATATGCAAAATATCCAATTTCTTTATTAAGTCTTAAGGTTTATAAATAAATGTTTTTTTCACATCTTGCCTATCATGGAAAGTAATTTTCATTTTAAGATTAAAAATACTTTTATGCATAAGAAACTTTTGAAATTTCACATGCAAAATCTTTATAATGTCTGGATAGTTATCAAACATTTAAGAAAACCTTTATATTTTATCTGTTATTTTCAGTAAATAATCTCTGTATGGGTTCGGTAGATTTGACCAATCTCGCAACCACCATAAATTATGCCTCTTTCATTCTA